GAACCCTTTTAGTTTAAAAAGACCGAGGTGGCCTTCCGCCACAGGAGGGGCTGTTGAAGACTTGTGGGAGGAGCTGTTGATGACGCTGCACATGGGACCCACTGGCGGTGGATAAACAGGAAACAACTGATAGCAGGAATTAGCAAGCAGCTAGTAGCAAGAGGGAAACACAAACCTGGCAGACACTGTAAAGATGAGCAACTGGGGAGACAAGGAATTGCGCGCCCTCCTTGTCCTCGCAAACAAAGAGGCCATTAACTCTCAGATGACGGGGACGGTGAAGAACGGGCCGACTTAGGAGAGAATTTCAGAAGGACTGACCAGCTACGACTTCCCTCCCATGTCACTGTTTACGTCACACGCTGAGCTACACGTTTTGTTACTTGCTCACGCCCCCCATTGCCCTGAAAAAGGCACATTCTGTATAAACAAAAGTAGGCAGGCGGCATTTTGCCGCACTCCCCGATGTTGTTTTTATACTGCCAATGCTGAAAGAAAACTGATTGGGCTTTCCTGCAAATTTGCACAATTCCTGTTTAAAAAAGGGCTAAAAGGTAAAGGAAAACACTTTGTCTCTCTGCAGAGACCTTTCCATAATTTTGTCAGACAATACAATAACAATCTGAAGCTGTCAACGAGCACTTTTAATGGGCGTACATTGACGCTATTGCCCCGATCGATTACATTGCAGCCCATTTGCAGCTGCAGCAGTCTTTCTCAGTACCAGACCAGTTTAAAAACTGTTGTTCCCATTAACTGCTCGGACACAAAAACATGGGAAAATTGGGTCCAGGTTGAAAAATACGTAAGTTTCCCTTTAACCATCACCTTGCTCTGGCTTCATATTTAACAGTCAGATAAAAGACTGATATTGATCTTCTCATTTTACTCTCAGGAGAAAGTGAATAAGTGTATTTCTCCTAATGTCAAACTACTCATTTAAACTGCGGAGGTTAAATTTCCAGAACTGAACGGTTGATTAATTGTTGAAATGAGACTGTAGCCTAATCTCCTGTGTTAGCAGATGCTGGTTTCCTCCCATTAGGACACTGGCCCTTAAATCTCTAGTCATGCTGTGCAGCTAATGGACGGCTGTAAGTGAGGCAGCACATGCAGGATGGGCTGTATTGAATGTCACAGACAAAGAGAACAGCATTTCCCAGGATACCAGCAGCTGTACGGCCCCTTTATAAAAATCTGTTTGTGTATGTGTGTGTGGGAGAAAAAGGAGCAAAAACAAAGGAATGAGAAGGAGTAAGGGACTGAGACTGAAAGTAAACAGTAAAAGGGTGACTGTGTTTGCTAGATTACTGTGAGTTACATTCTCAGAGACAATACCCGCCTATCAGATTGACTACCGAGGCCTTTCCTTGGACAAATAACACAATCCCGACAATGACCTATTCTCACAAAGAGGTCTTCATGTGGCACTGCAGCTCAGATTGTCGCCTGCAGGCGCTGATCCAAAGTCTGTTTCACATTATCATTCCTTAGGTTGGAGCTCAGATCCTCTGATCGATCTGCATCTAAAGTTCTCTCTGTGTCCTCCTCTTTCTCAGAACTATGAGGCCTTCTTTGATGCCAGGGAAGACAACGCCGTGTATGCGTTTCTGGGTCTGACTGCTCCCCCGGGCTCCAAGGTAAGCTTATGAACACAAAACCCACGCTGATATCTGCCCTCTCTTTGAACTGCATTCCTGCAGCCTAGCCATGTTTCCTGTATCACTGGCTTATGTGCTTAAATATATATTTATCCTCACTGTGTGATTTCCATGCAGAAAACACACATATTACATAATACATCTGTTCATGATATCCCAACACCCAAGCAGGCCTCTCCTCCTGTTCCTCTCACACCTGCACACTGGCGCCTCCTCTGTGCCACAACGGGGACTGCAAGGAGGTGTGCCAGTTACCATAGAAACAGAGGGGTTTTCCTCTGTGCTGTGGCAGGGGATATATAAACCAATATCCTCCATTTTAATTTAACACACTCTCCCTCTTCTCTTCCTTTCTCCCCCTCTGTCTGTCTTTGCAGGAGGCCGAGGCTCTAGCAAAGAAAGCACAGCAGTAGCAGCTTTACACCTTTTCTACCTGAGACCTAAACCCAGATCTGGACCCAGACTGACCTGGAACTGATCCAGGAATAAAAAGAAGAAGCAACATTTTCACTCGGCTTATGAATACGTGGACTTTTTTTTTCAGTATGTTTTTTTCTATTAATCTGTGTTCTGCTGTGCCTTGTCAGCTGTAGTGAAGGGAGGAGCTAAAGCAGAGCATTATGGGTATCTACAAACAGCTCTGCTTCCTCCTGTTAGCCTCAGCCTGCTAAGCCTATTGGCCTAATGACATGTCAATCAACCATTAGCACAGACGTGTAGCTTCCTTTTTGAGAGCACATCATCAGACTCAACAAAAAGTACGCACTTTCAAAATTTGCACCACAGATTGATCATTTGGCCGACAGAACGTCACCCATGTCACCATCAGACTATGACACAATATCTCCATCTGTTTATCTTGACAGCTTTGATTAGAGCAAGTCTTATGTGTTGAATCCTGGAAACATGCTGTGCTACTGCCAATCACATCATCGCCAAACCCGCAGCACCTTCTGTAAAAGCTACCTATTAGAATCCCATTCTGTATGTTTTTATTTACTTTATATTGTCTTAATGCTGTTTTAATAGCAAACTTTTTTCTACGAGATGATATATGTTTAAAAATAATAACACATGCCAAACTTACAAGTCTGCATACACAGAGGGATGTGAAATAGTTTTTTTTATTTGCTGTTTTTTTTTTTAAGGGAAGTTGGATGACTGTTGTGTTTCGCTGTGAGCATTCTGTTTCACAATGTGTTGGTAATCCCCGTTTTACATAATCTTCCCGTAAATAAAATAAAAACAAGACTGCAAATAAAACTGCAAGCCTGACTTTCAGTACTTTGGTGGTTGTCATTAAATAAGTCAAACAAATTTGAAATTAATTCTGCCTTCTTATAACATGCAGTTGTTTTCATGTATAATAAATGAGTTTACAGATCATGCCTAATCTTTGGCTTGACCTTGTGCGGCCGTAAAAGGGCAGTCAAGCATTTGGGATGAGTGATTTCATTGTCCTGAAAGCAGCGTTGTAGTCAAGCCCACCTAAACCGATACCAAGTCATGACCAAGATCAGAGTGTATCAAGATTGAGACAAGACCAAGACTTAAAGGGGTTGAGACCAAGTCAAGGCCAGGTCAATGCGAGTCCCATATTATATGACGCACTTAATATAAAATGTAGAACATGCAAACCAAAGGCTGTCCTCAACTACACTCCCATGAAAATACCCACAGAAACCCAATGAAGATTCCTCTTCATTCACTTCTTTTATTGTCATATATGTATATATGTTTGTATGTGTAAGTGTACCAAAAGTTATGTTTTGATAGAATAATCAGAAAGAATTGAAGAAGTGAATTTTATGCGGTCTTGAAATGAAATCCAGAGTCTGCTCTGTTGGAGATCAAGGCGAGACTGAGTAAAAATGCAGTCGAGACGAGACTGAGTCTTGAGACCAATGTCAAGTACCACAACACTACTAGAAAGTATAAACACCGTAAAAGAGAAAGAAGAATTATTTTGAAGAAGTCATCCCACACTGAGTTACTGGTATTTGTGAATCACAAGATGCTACAGATATTCCCCAGAATGTTATCCCACCACTCAAAGTGTGTCTCAGCAGTTTTTACGTCCTTGTATTTTTCTCAGTCTGTGCTATTTTGTGTTTCTACTCCATCACATTTCAGAATCAAATATTCTTCTCTTTACTACACCACATTTTTATGGCAGCTGTGGTAAGTAGGTACTTTTCAGAATAAGATTTGACATAAAACAAATTGACAAACTTAGAAGATATTAAAGAATAAAACTGCAACATAAGGAGCACCTCCATGGCGTCTGTAGTTGTGCACACTCAAACTTTTTCTATATTTTTTCATGTTAGCAATCCTCTCCTTAATATTGACACTATGGCAGACAGTGGTAAGTCTACTTTGAGCTAGATTTTTGAATATAGTGGAGATGATTATTCCCATGCAACTCTGAAAGTGAAAGACCTGTAGTTGATCAAAATCTTGCTAATTAAAGTATTAAGAATCCAATGTGTTTGTACAGCTTGTATTGCAATTTTGTTCTTTTTTTGTTTGTGTCTAGAACCTATTCCACTGAGGTTTTGTGCAAGTACAATGGAGAATAAAGCAATGGTTCCCAATGTTTTTGACGTTTAACCCTTTACAAACAGCAGTGTGTGGGGATGTCTGTGAGCTGTTCCCCCAAAAAGTGATCACCTCTTCAATATCTCACCTAAACAAGCAAAGGTCTGATTTTTCTGTATAGCTATGCTTCTTTTTCTTCTATTTCTGCCTTATTAATAATATCACGACCCCTCCGATTTATCTTTTGACCCTTCAGAAGGGGCCGATCCCTCGGTTGAAAAACACAAAACTATCTAGCCAGCTTACAACTGTAAAATGCTACACACTGAAGCATCAATAATGTAATATACATTTAACATATCTGTCACAGGGGCCATTAGGCTATTTACAACATGTTAAATACCTCTGATAATACTTATGTACTTTTACTTGAGTAGGATCTTTAATGCAGGACTTTTACTTATAAAAGAGAAGATTCAAGCCTCTACGCTGACGACAGCCATGGCTGGACGCATTATGGTTTCATGTTGTCCAACGGTCCCACTGTGTGTCCCATTCTCATGGACGTGATACCACCTCGAGGGAATTTCTTCAGAATTTTCTCAAACATCCACTGCTTAGAATTTGGTCAAAGGTCAAAGATCAATGAGAGCCATTACTCAACACCGTATGTCAGGAGCAGAAGGGGAGACATTTGGTCAGATACTGAATTGGTGACACTAATCTTTGGTGTCCATCTTGAAACTGTGCTGATTGTATAGATCTTCTGTGTTGGAGATGTGTGTGAAGCATCCATGTTTGAAAATTTGGAGCTTCAGTGCAGCAACATCCATATTGGAAGCATTGTCTACAAACTTGACTGTTTGGTGGAGGCATACAACAGCAAGGTGGTAATTCTTGTTAGATGTTGTTTTGGTATTTTTTTTCTGCCCCTTGGCTTATGTCTAAATGTAGGCCTACTGTTTCTGTTGTCCCCACTGTGATTTTCAGTTACAGATTAATAAAGGAAGTGTGTGGTGAGGGCGGAGGGGCCAGTTCTCAGATGCAGAAGTGAAACAAGCAAGTAGAACTTTACAATTACATACGCAATAACACCGTGCCATTTGCCCTTGAGACTGACTATCATAAGAAGCAAAAACAGACAGAAAGGAAGCAAAAAGTCGTTCTGTGCAATGTTGGCCGAAGGTTTTCTCAGAGTGCTGTGTTACAGGGAGAAGAGAAAGTTTGCTTCCAAGCAGAAGAGTTTGCAGACACATCATCCGGAACAGTTCAACAGTATCCTCTCCGAGACAAACTCTACAGACCTACAAACAGATTCAGCTGAAGCAGGTAAACGCCCTCATAAGAGCATAAACTGTCTGATGTTGTGATAACTTTCTGTACTGGCTTCATGCTCTAATTTTAACTTTACACAGTGCTTCCCTTTTTCTATAACGTTCTTCCTTTGTCAGATTAAATCTTGCTGACGAAATAGTCAAACCGAACTAAATTTCATTGAAGACACCCAAATAATATTTTCTGTAATCAGGTCCAAACCGGGAAGAACTCAACCCTAGACCAGTGAAAATGGCAACTCAAGGTCCTGCAGGCCTCTTAATCCCTGGGTGCTCACCCCCTCTCAACCTGGACCCTGACTTTACAGCCTGCTTAGACGATTGTAGCCTGCTGGAACAGTATCCAGACCTGCAGGTGGCTGACTCAGGCCGCATCTCACAGAACCCACAGAGACCCGCCATCCCCTTGCACGATTTGTACACGCCTGCCCCTGAAGCCTACCGTCAACCAGAATGGGCAGCCCAGGAGAGCCCACAAGGTGGGCGTGTCTCATCGATACCAGACCAGGGTTATCTGGTTATGGGAGCCAGTGTGAACATCAGCTTGGATCTGCCCGGATCAGGGTTGGAGCCCATGTCTAACTCGGTGCTGAACGGGCTGCTGGAGAAACAGCTGGAGGAGGTGTACATGCAGCATCTGACTGACAACTTGGCTCGATGTAACTCCCACCTGGGGAACAGCCTCCTACACGGCCTGGTGCCTCCGCCGCAGCCCAGCAGCCAGCTGCAGGGGCCTGACTCACTGGAGGCCAGTCTGGAACAGGGATCAGGAGGGGACAGCAACAAGAAGATTAGTTATCTGAGCACCCAGAACTTACCTCATTGCTCGTCTAACTTCAGCTCCCCTGTGCTGAGGATTTCAGAGGCTGACAATGCTCATATGCAATGAATGCATACACCCTGCGAAAGTGTTAAATGTGATGCTCAGCAAGGCTTTTTGCTTCTGTACTTCTTTACTTCCAGGTTCACACTCACAAACATGCAACTGATGTGTGAAAATGAGTACAATTCAGGATATAAATGCATGCTTTTATGTTTGTTTACTTATATTTACACAATGTCTTTGTTTACTTGCTTGATGAACTGATGCCCCATCTTTAATTGCTCTCATGTGCCATCTGCTGTTAGATTTAAGTACTACACCACCCTGACTTCACCTGACACACATTTACATTTATTTTATTGATATTAAAAGTGGTTGTGCTTAAAGTATTTATTATTTGAAGCAAACTAATCCAGTGTGAGTTTATAGATTTAGATGTATACTGCACATTGAAGCTGACCTGTAAATAGACATGTAATGGTAATATATCTATCTGGTCCATTGAAGGTAAAATAAGATTCCAATAAACTAATTTAGCTGTCTTTTTTAATGTTTTTAAGTGCATTTGGATTTAATTCTGCAGTGTTAATTTTGTTTTTATATCTGTCTTTGTTCAAATTCAATATTGTGCATCCATCTCTTGTTTTAAACTGACATGTCAGTCTCTCAATAATGGCTGAATATACATGAAATACAATAAATGGTTAAGTAATGTGGGTTGACTGTATGATTATTTTAATACGAGACAGGCACTTACATTGAAATTATTTCCCACAGGACTTGAAGTGGATACTTGTTTTTTATTTTATGTCCCAAAATCAGTTAAAACAAACACGATCAGTGTGACACAACAACATGACAAAATTAGGCTCTCGTTGAAACAGTCACAGTGTAGCTACAGAGTATTTTTTATGGTTTTATTTGTTATTTTTGTTGCCTTTTATGGTGTTATGCTATATTGGGGTTGGTGTGTAGAATTTTAGGAAACATTCTACTACAAATTGTACTTTCACATATGGTTTGCAATGGGGAGTTGCGATATACTGGTATAATGGTATACTGGAAAACAGTGATGTTTGAAAATGAAATACTTATAATATCGTATAAATAATCCAGCACCTTTTGAATTATTTCCCCTCCACTAAAACAATCTAGTTGTCAATTCACTATCCATTAAGTGTAATTGCTCTTTTTTAAGATTTTGTACAGTTATGATAACAGACTCTTTCTCCACCTTACTCGTATGTTGAGCGTAATTTATTTGCCAAAAAAGAGATAAAAAGTGAATAATCAAAGTTTAAGATAAATCTGACTAATAGCATTATTATTACTTTAAAATGTTCTATAAATATTGTGATAATATCCTTATCGTTAACTCTCTTGACCACAGTAATTGTGTAGTGAAAATTGAATATCGTGCCAGCCCTAGTTTGCAACATTATAACATAGTTTTTTATTACTCAGGATTCTGTATACATAATAACAGAAGCCTTTCTGTGGCCCATCATAGATAAACCTGGAGGTAAACAGATCAGGCTGTCAAATTAGATATATAGATTAAGGGTGACCTCTTTGACAACAACAACCAAAAAATAAGCCTACCAGAACAGTCAAATTTGAACTTCAATGGACCATCACACCAACACCTTGATGACATAAATTAATCTTGAAGTTGGGATTTTCTATTTAGGATGACAGTTAGCCATATGTGTACATAGATGCTATGCTATGTTTACCGTCAAGTCTAATCAGAATAGCACTTACAGAACCATAACTTTACCAAATATCCCTAGTCAGGATCAATAAGAGTTTATCTTATCTCACATGACTTGGTGTGTCCATATACGAGACCTGTACTCAGGTGCGGTGTGTCCACATCACTGTAATACTGCACTTATACTATACTAACTACTGTAAATGATACAGGTTATGAATGAATAACAATTGACAGTTCTTACCCTATAACCTCCTGCTTAAACATCCAAGGCCGTGTGATGATGCTGTGCTTCAGTGAGCTGTTCATCACAACTTGGCAGGCTCCAAGCATCCACCACCATGCTGACTCTTTGGCTGAGTGTGGAGTCTTCAGTTGTCCTAGAGGCACCTGCACCTCACAGCGAGCTCCAGCATGAACTGACAAAGCAATAGCCTGAAGATTTATGGTGCATTTGGCTGCTTAAGGTTGATTTGTAACCTGTGAAGCACAAATCCTCGCAGCGGGGCTTCCTCTGTACCCACAGTGAGGGTAATGGTGATCCATCAACATGCACTGACACACTGGGCTCACGGCAAACATAAGATGACTCACTGATCTGTTTAAAAAGAAAACAGAGATTCGTTAAGCGTTTTCTCTAATTAACAGATTTGAGTCAACAGTGTCTAATCAGGCAATGTTACAAACAGCCTCTATCTAAAGATTTGGGCATTCATCTTTAAATTTCAAGGTAATTTGCAACAGCAAATCTGAAAATTAAATGCCAACAAAAAGAGAAGGAAAATGAGATTTTAACCCCGAGAGATGTATAAATATAAGTCATTAAGTAGTTAGTTAAGTAGTAGAGTGAGGACTTCTTTTAAAGATGCTTCAGTCACACGATAATAAAACAAACTTTTGTTGTACTTTACAATGCAGCTGGAGCAACATGAAAATACCAAATGTACAGTAACAGAAGCACCACCCCGCTTAGATAGCATTATACCTGTATTTGTGTTAAAGGGTCTACAGAAGCAAACCCCCACAGGTGTTTTCACTTATATCACCTGAGTTATCCTCCTCTCAGGACTGTGTGTGCAGGCACAAAGCTTCAGTCTGTTAGTCACTGTTGTAAGTCAGCCTACTGTTGTGTTTCGAAGGGCATCATTCTTATTTGCCTGTGCTGTGTGTTCACATGGGTGCTTTCAGTGGGCTGATTAGACCTCTGTCCAGGCTGAAGCTGGGTAACGCTATGTAAGGAATTGGGGTCATCAAAGTCCACACACTCATAACAAAGGACCCTCACACACGAAGCCAACGTTCGGCCGTAATTCAATATCTGGCCAATTTAGCATTTTGAATCAGTTTGGCAGATCAGCTCAGTGCACAAGAAGACCAAACCAGATCAAAACAAACTTGTTATGCTGGTAAGATAACTTTGTTTAGCCACTGAGCTCTTAAGCAGAAACGGTTCCTACTGTTTGTCCTATGTTTCGCTTGTGCGTGGTAAACTTCTTTTGTTGTTTCAAAATCGGGTTGTGTTATTAATGTCCTGTTCCCTTTTTGTATTAAGAATATAGACTGCTGCTGCCTGCTGCTACAGAGTTATTTCCTCTCACATAGACGCAGAGCATATGTGCTAGTTGGCTGTTGGCTGTTGTCTGTACATTGTGTTCAAGTACAATATTTTGGCCAAGACGCAGGCAACATGAAGCTACATGATAGTCGGCCTTCGTAACCACTAGTTCTTTGATGTCAGTTTGGTGTATCTTGGCCTTAAAAGGAGAGTGAGGGAGATGTGCAGAGGCCACTTTGTCTGTGAGGACATTTTGACTTGTGGGTAACACAGTAGGTAAAGCAAAAAACTTAATGATGGCTGGATTCTATTTAGGGTCCTGGTACTGCATATTTTGGCTCACACTCTACGCTGTCATGACTTACTGGGAATTTGAATGGAACAGAGCCATTGCCAGTGTAAGGGTACGGTCACACATGGGAGAAATTAACACTGGTGTATGTTCGATCCCTGTCCCCTTCCATTCACTGTGAGCAGAGGGGTAAAAACATTCACTTCGGGCTGGGAAAGCAAAGTTGCATCTTTGCATCACGTTGAGTTTAACTTAGGTGAACTTTGACCAGAAAAATTCTTTCAGGTCCAGTTCTGTGGCTGGTTCAGATTAGTTTTATTCACTGTGCAGTGGAGACAGAAGGTCACAGCAAGGGTCCATCTGAGGATGAACATTCAGAATGAGGTTTTTATTGCTTTAAATTAAGGTTAAGTCAGGGGTAGCCAACCTGTGGCCGCACACGACTCGCCCCTCTCTAGTGGCTCCCCATGCCTTTGGAGAAAAAATTATATATGGTTTGAATGATTCTTACATTCTCCATTGTAAAAATGTATAACCTATTCACAGAATTTAAGAAACCTCAGCAGCAATGGTTTGTCTTGGATCTCCCTGGCTAAGCTAGCTATGGATTCCAGGTTTAAAAGGTGTTGGAAGACAATCAAGAACTGAACAGTGTGTGGACATATTGTTTGCTTTTACCTCCAACCCTGCAAAGTAAAGTCCCAAGCAATCATAAATAGCCCACTGCGGAGTAGCCACATTGTGGTAACATAAAGGCTCATTTGGAGCTATGAGTAATGTTCATGGGTGAAGTAGACTGACTGTTACCTTCATTCTAAGACTGAAATCTGTTTTCGCGGCAGATTATTTGAGAGCTTTTTTTTGCCAAAAAATGGCTTTTTTGATCGTAAAGGTTGCTGACCCCTGGGCTAGGCTAAAACAGTGGGTTGTGGGCTTGGCTAATCAACAGGTCTGAGTGGCAACAAAGGTGACTTGAACTCATAAAGCCCAGGACAGGCTGATTACCAATGCAATCTGATTCAATCTGCCTTAATCCCTTCAACACCTTAAAGACTTCCTATAGCTAAAACGATGACACACAGGGGTCTATTAATCAATACTAAACAGTTTCAGAACTTAAACAGAGGAACAAGAAGGACAGTACATTAGAATCAAACTAAAGCTATGAGTTTGGGTTGAGGAGATATTGATTGTTACAATGTTTAACCAGCCAATATTGTGTAATGTTGGCCATGAAAAATAGAAACTGCTGTTCTGCCACTTGCACCTAGCTAAAATGATGGGCCTAACTGAGGAGCCACAGAGAGCCAGACTAACTTTATGTCAGCTTTGCAGAAGGCGTCAGACACATTCAGTGTTAACTATAAATATCCAGACCTCCAACAGGGCTGAAGGAGAGCAGGAAGCACTTCCACCTCAGTCAAAGCTATCAGTTAAAGGCTGTACAGCTTCATATTCCTGTGTTTAGAAGTGTGGTGTAGATCTATTATCAACACATTATAATTCACTATAGTCTGTTTTACACAGTAAACAGTTCCAGTAAGAACTTAAAGCAGTCATTATTAATGTTATTAATTACACCTGTACTTTTCCTGCTATTTCAAAATGTCTACTATAAAGCTCTATTAGAAAAGACTGGATTAGAAAAAGTCTCACCTCGTCCCCACCGTATTTTTGTCACAAGAGATAATACCACTTTTTAATAACACATACTTCACATATGGTTTATAAAATAGTCCAGATGCTCTTTCATGGATAGCTGACTAAAAAGACCGAATAAACCTGGGATTTACAATTTGGCATCCTAAAAGCTGTTTCCAATTTC